CCCACGGAGAGCCTTCAGCCACCACCAGCCAACCCAACACCTGCACACGCTACAACAACACGAGACATAAATGAGATGAGCATATATATATATATATATATATATATATATAAAAGAAACACTGTGTTCTGACCGTGTGTTGAGCGCTGGTGCTGTCGCTCAGTTGGCAGCGCTGCAGTGTTGTTCCTGTGTTCTCCAGCAGAGGGCAGAGCTCAGCGTCAGGAAACAACCAGTGGAGAAGCGTCTCTCTGGGACTGGACGAGAAACTCCTGACACACACACACACACACGAGCTTCAAACACACACAGATACAGATGCTGATGATCATCTAATAATCAGAGTGCTGCAGCTTACCAGAGCAGGGTGAAGTTGGCCAGTGTTGCTGTGAGCGTCTGCGGCTGTGAGAACTGCTCCAGATGAGACACACGGCGAGACAGAGACTCTCCGCCCTGAAGCACACACACATTAACTTCCATCACCACACACTGTGTGTATGTGTGTGTGTGTGTGTACCTTGAGCAGCAGTGGCTGTGTGTGTATGTCGATCCCCGAAGACGCTCTCAGCTCTAGCACCGCAGTCACGTCTGCGCAGGCCGAGCAGTTCACCTGCGGCGTCTGCGGCGCACCGGATGCCCACCACTCGTGAAACCCTGCCCACACACACACACGCACACACACACACACACAGGCATGTTGAGATGGACGCGTGTGGAGAGCGTGTGGACAGTGTTGGGGGTAATGCATTACAAGTAACACGAGTTACGTAATCAGATTACTTTTTAAAGTAACTAGTAAAGTAATACATTACTTTTTAAAAAAACAGTCAAATGCAAACTCAGAATATTATACAAAGCTGCAATAATTAAATATGTTAAATAAGACGAATATCATTATGTACTTAATCCCAATTTATTAACCAATGTCTTTGCTGCTGACCTTCGATGATCCACTTCAACCATACTAAACAAAAATGACACATTTATGCATCATTTTTGTTATTGCTGAATAGTGTTGAACTTTCTTCTCCTGCGTCATATTCTTCATGCGATTTGAGCGGCGCCCTCTACTGTACAGACGAGAATTTACATTTCCTTCAGCCTGAGCCGTATTTGTTTCACTTCTGTTGAGAAAGGGCTTTTACATTTGTAAAATAACTTTTTTTTATATTAAAAACAAACAAGCAAGCCCTGCCCAGATTTAAAAAGTACCTCAAAAGTAACGTAATGCATTACTTTCCATAAAAAGTAACTAAGTAATGTAATTACTTACTTTTTTAGGGAGTAATGAGAATATTGTAATGCATTACTTTTACTTAACTTTCCCCAACACTGCATGTGCAGAGCATGTCTGATGACGTCTGATTGTGTCTGATGGTGTGTGACGGCGTCTGATGGTGTCCGACGGTGTCTGACGGCGTCCGATGGTGTCTGACGGCGTCCGATGGCGTCTGACGGCGTCCGATGGCGTCTGACGGCGTCTGATGGTGTCTGACGGTGTCTGACGGTGTTTGACTGTCTGATTGTGTCTGACGGTGTTTGACTGTCTGATTGTGTCTGACGGCTTCTGATGGCGTCTGATTGTGTCTGATAGTGTCTGATGGTGTGTGACGGCGTCCGATTGTGTCTGACGGCGTCCGATGGCATCTGACGGCGTCCGATGGCGTCTGACGGAGTCCGATGGCGTCCGATTGTGTCTGACGGCGTCTGATTGTGTCTGACGGTGTTTGACTGTCTGATTGTGTCTGACGGCTTCTGATGGCGTCTGATTGTGTCCGATAGTGTCTGATTGTGTCCGATGGCGTCTGATTGTGTCTGATGGTGTGTGACGGCGTCCGATGGTGTCTGACGGCGTCCGATGGCGTCTGACGGCGTCCGATGGCGTCTGATGGCGTCTGATTGTGTCTGACGGTGTTTGACTGTCTGACGGTGTCTGATTGTGTCTGACGGTGTTTGACTGTCTGACGGCGTCTGATTGTCTGACGGCGTCTGACGATGGCGTCTGACGATGGCGTCTGACTGGGTCTGACGATGGCGTCTGACTGTGTCTGACGATGGCGTCTGACTGTTTCTGACGGTGTCTGATGCGTCTCACCGTGCAGGTTGTATTTATTGGCGATGGGCAGCTCCAGCAGCCGTGCGTGACTGAGAGGAGATGAGCTGTTGTGTCCGGCTGCGCTCGAGGAGTCCAGCAGCAGCGCACTGTGAGGATACGTGAACACCAGCACCGCCATCAACAGAACCCCCAGCGCAAGCACCAGCTGCACACACACACACACACACACACACACCTGTCACACACATCTCACACACACACACGTCACATAAACACATATCTGTGACACGCGATACACATGCCAATATATAAAACATATATATGTCAAATATTTTACAAATATCGTGTTTTATATTATACCTAAAAATATAATAAAAGATATTTTACGTTACAAAAATATAAGAAATAATATTTTTGTTTTCAATTACATGCAAGTATATTTTAAATCATTTAAAATAATTTATATATATATATTTTTTTGTTGTTGTTGAGTTTTTGATGAGTTCTAGCGATCTGCTCTCTCTCTTCACTAGAATATCTTGCCGATGTGTTTTTGCAGTGTGTGTTGATCTGGCTCCTCGCACCTTGACAGTGGCTCTCAGGATGGGGAACTGCGGCGGGTCCCTGCGGGGCTCGTTAGTCTCCAGCACCTGCTTGATGAACTTCTCAATCTCTCTCTCGCTCATCCCGTAGCGGTATCCAGACTGCCGGAGGATGTCGATGCTCTCCGACAGCTTATCATAGATGCAGGGCTCACTGAGAGACGAGCCCATGATACCAGTGTGTGTGTGTGAGTTAGAGCCTCATCTTCATCACCAGCATCATCTTCTTCATCAGAGTGTGGAAACAGCTGCAGATGAGCGTGTGAGTGTGTGTGTGTGTGTGTCTGTGAGAGAGAGTGTGTGTGTGTGTGTGTGTGTGAGAGAGTCAGAGCCTCATCTTCATCATCACCAGCATCATCTTCTTCATCAGAGTGTGGAAACAGCTGCAGATGAGTGTGTGTGTGTGCGCGAGTGTGTGCGTGAGTGAGTGAGTGTGAGAGAGAGAGAGAGAGAGAGAGTGTGTGTGCGCATGAGAGTGTGTGTGTGAGTGAGTGAGTGAGAGTGTGCGCGTGAGAGTGTGTGTGTGTTATACCGTGTTTCTATCCTAGATCCCGAGAGAAGGCGTCTTCCTTCATGACTGATGATCTCTGTAACAAACACAAACACACACACGCTAGGCATCAGCTGACCAAAACACTCTCAAATACAGCCTCTGTCTGCCGCTTCTCGCACAAACAGCGCTCTAAAACACAAACAATCGTCTTACCGTCGCGACCGGGCCGTTTATCGGTGATTTGAGGCTGATTTCCCGCAGTTTCGTGCGTTATTTCACTCGCAGGTTCGCGTTATAGCACCACTCGCGCTGCCGCGTCACTCATCTGCGAGTTCACAGACGCTGATTCGACACGCTCGGCGCGATAACGATACATTTATCCGCGATAGTTTTATTCGTTTTAATTAGATGATTGATTAAGTAAATACTTTGGGGGGTTTATAGTTTATTCGCGTAAATATGTAGTTGGTAGTTTGAGGATAGAAACAAGCGAAAGTGCCGTTGTAAATTATCAGTAAGAGGTTTAAACTCCATAAACCTCGACCTGACTAAATATTAACTCAAAAGAGCAGATTTGATCAGACTGTACAGTTTGACGTTACATCACTGCAGGAATTATTAGAAAAATAATCACGTTTCATTTGTACATGTATGCACACAAATCTGTTCATAAATGTTAATAACTGTTTGTATATGATTGTTTACTATGTAGACAAATAATTATTTTTCTATACCTACTTATATATATATATATGTTATGTTTTTATTATATTTACAGATTACGCTATTTTTTGTCTGTTTCAAAAACAGTATATTTTGAAAAATAAAATAAAAATACATTATTGAATATATTTGATCATACAAACACTAAACTAGTAATGCAGCGCTGAGTTTTATATTATTTTGCAAGAGTTTTTCCTGAATAAAAAGTTAAGTGCGTTTATATTTATTTAAAACAACAACAACAAATATTTGGATTATTATAAAACATGTTAAAAAATAAATGTCCTATTTTTTTCATACCGTTCATTTTATAATTTGATGAAGTAATACATTTTTAAAAATTAAATAAAATTAATTATTGAATATATTTGTTACTATTACTAGTGATATACTAGTGATATTATAACTATTAATTACTAGTACGCAGCATTGATTTTTAGATTATTTGAAGAGATATTTTCCTGAATTAAAAAAGGGCCTTATATTTATAAAAAATAAATAAAAATAAAAAGTTGAATTATTATCAAAAATGCTAAAATAATGACCTAACTTTTCATACAGTTCATTTTATAATTTCATTTAGTTACTGAAAGACATTCGGTCAACTTTCAAATTATTGCTAGGTTAAATTTATAGATTTTCAGACTATTTTTCTATTTCTTTTTTATTAATGCTCAAAAATCAAAAACAGTACACAAAAAGTAATACAGGCATCACCATAAAAGTGACAGACATTAATAACAAAATAAAATAAAAAAGGGGTGTTTAATACATTACAAACTGAAAAAAACAAAACAAAATGGATTTGTCATTAAAGACAGGAACAGAGTCACAGACAGACGAAGATGACGTCACCGGTGTGCGTCCAGCAGGGGGCGCGTGGCGCCGCGAGTCCCGCATTGTTTGGATCAGCTGCGCGTGGATGTGAAGCCCCACCCAATGAGGAAGAACGACCCGCGAGCAGCAGCCGCAGCCGCAGCAGCACCGGACCGAGCTCGAGCCCGCACCATGATCGCGCTATTCAACAAGCTGCTGGACTGGTTCAAGGCGCTCTTCTGGAAGGAGGAGATGGAGCTGACGCTGGTCGGCCTGCAGTACTCGGGAAAAACCACCTTCGTCAACGTGATCGCGGTAATCAAGCTCGCTTTATCACAGGCCTCGCTCCGCGGCGGCGTTACATACAACGTGTCAATGTAGAAGATAGAATGTGTCACATTCAGCACGAGATGTATCACCTACTGAAGAATCAGATCAGATTCAATATCGAGAATACAATGTGTCGGATGCAGCATCTTTAGATCACAGACAGTAGATCAGACAAACGTCTTTGGGTACAATGTGTCGCATACAGAAAAACAGATCAGACACGGTGTGTCAGAGAAAGTACTAGTAGATACAATGTATCAGATTCAGCATGATTAGGTCACATATGATGTGTCAGATATGTAGCCGATGCAGCATCATCAGATCCAGTGTGTCAGATCAGATACAATGTGTCTGATTCAGCATCTTTAGGTCAGTTTTATAGGATAATCAGATCATTGTATCACAGACAGAATGATCAGATCAGACACCATGTGTCCGATTCAGCATCATTAAATACAATGTATCAGATACACTGTGTGCATCATTAGATCAGATACAATATAGAAGATTCAACTTTATACAGTGTTTTACATTTACAGATACGGCATCAGACTCGATATAGAAGTCTGATTCAGCATCATCAGATACAGTGTGTGCATCATTAGATCAGACTCAATATAGAAGATACATCACATCAGACACAAAGCGTCAACTTCAGCATCATTAGGTCAGATAGAACACGTATGATACAACATCATTAGTCAGTGATCAGAGTATCACATACAGAATATCAGATGCATTGTATCACATAATGCATGGCCAGATCAAATCACAGTAAATCAGACCTAATATAGAGGATTTAACATTATAATGTGTCCAATTCAGTATCATTACATTAGATGTAATATATATCAACTTAACTTAAGCATCTATATTAGATATAACGTGTCACATATAGCATCATCAGCTCAAATCAGACACAATGTTTCAGATACGGCACCATCAGACACAAACTGTAACATAAAGCATTATTATTTATTTATTTAGCCGACACAATGTGTTACACAGTATCATCAAATCAGACACAATGTATCAGATTTAGCATCATTAGATTAGATACGGCATTATCAGACACAAAGTATCATAGACAGCATTATTTGATGTTATGATTCAGCTGACACTTTGTATCGTCAGATCTGACGCAGTGTATCAGATAGAACATCATCCTCAGAACTGTTTAGTCAGACTGTTGTGGAGATCCTGCCCAGCATCTGATCGACTTGACAGCTGTCAATCAAAAACAAGTTGATCAGCTGACCCCGTTTCTCAGCCAATCAGCATCTGGCATTCTGTCCAATCATGTGGTCTGCCGGAACGGTGTTTATGTATTCAACAGCCTCGCTCAGGAAGGTCGTCAGTGCATAAATCCAGGCGTTTCGTGGAGCTGCAGTCAAGCAGATTTCAGTGGATTCAGATGCTTGATTTGTGAAACTCTCTGTCTGTGTGTCTGCAGTCGGGTCAGTTCAGCGAGGACATGATCCCTACGGTCGGCTTCAACATGCGCAAGATCACCAAGGGAAACGTCACCATCAAGGTCAGGAGATCACTCTCTGTTGAGATGAACCAAATAGCACTGCAGAACGAAAAATACAAATCATCGTAAATATTCATGCTTTATATACATTTACCTAAACAATTATTTTCCAATAAAAAATGTTTTTTAAAATAAGAAAAAAGTAAAAAATTGCATAAATTGTGTCAGTTCCTGATGGCACAAAAAAATGCACATATCTACACATATTTTAGTGTTGACCAAAGTTATTGTAAGAAAAGTCATCAAAATGAAATGTTCCTTTAATTTATCAATAACTATAAACATTTGGACCTAAATCAGCCAGCTTCTAAAAAACATACATTTATATTTTTATGTGTTTAAAAAAGATATATATACTTTTTTATTTTTACGTTTATTTCGTAGTTCTTGTTAGAAAATAGTATAAATGTGTATAAAATGTCTTATCAATTAAATAGTGAAATAAAATATTGCTTGATCTGCAACCATTTTGCATATTAAAATTAAAAGCATAAAATGTATACACTTTAAAAAAATATGCATTTATATTTTTGGCATCTTTAGTCGTCTTTAAAAAATATGTAATATTAAAAAAATAATTTAAATTACATTTTCTTAGTTTATTTAGTAGTTATTGCTAGTAAATCCGACCAGCGTTTTAAATTGTAATTAGATGTTTCAAATTTCATATATAATTGTTAAATAATAAAGCAATAAGCCCCAAGAAGACGTGATTTACAGTGAATTTATAACAGCTAAGGGGCGTTGTTAGGTACGACGCGAAGCAGAGCTGTTATAAATTCACTGTAAACCACGGCTTTCACGGGGATTATTGCTTTTATAAAACGGTTATTCCATATACGTAGTAAGGTTTCACAGAATAAAACAGAGCAAATAAAGTGTAATGATATTAATAAAAACAGTATTCTTCCACCAAACAATGTAGCTCCTCAGAAACAGTTGTGGTTGCTACAAAGTGGTTGCCGAGCAACACACAAACATAAACAAAGGTGTGTGTTACTTTGTAGAGTAATTTACAACAGCTTCGAACATGGCTCAGCCAATCAGAATCAAGGACCGGAACTCTCCGTTTTATAAAATTGCCTTGTTTAGTAAATTGTGCAATATAATAAGGCTATATAATATTTAGTTTACATGTGATTTACACTGATTGGGTGTGTGTTTGTTGTAGTTGTGGGACATCGGCGGTCAGCCGCGCTTCAGGAGCATGTGGGAGCGATACTGTCGCGGCGTCAGCGCTATCGTGTGAGTATACTCGTAATCTCAGGTACGTTACGTGAACGGCGTCATGATGTCATGCGTTCGTAACGGATCGCGTGTGTCGTTCAGCTACATGGTTGATGCGGCGGATCCGGAGAAGATCGAGGCGTCGAAGAACGAACTGCACAACTTGTTAGACAAACCTCAGCTGCAGGGAATCCCAGTGAGTCAGCCGTGATCGTTTCTGCTACTTTTCATGTGTTTAGATCATGTTTTATGAAACGGTTTCATCTCTGTGTGGTTATTCGATCATAAAAGTGTCCGCATTTCCTCAGGTTCTGGTTTTGGGAAATAAGCGAGATCTTCCCGGAGCGCTGGATGAGAAGGAGCTCATCGAGAGAATGTGAGTTCATCCGTAACTAAATACAATTTAATGCAGTCTGATCGTGATCCGATGGCTGGAAACGCTTGTTAAATCTGATCCACAGGAACCTGTCGGCCATCCAGGACCGAGAGATCTGCTGTTACTCCATCTCCTGTAAGGAGCAGGACAACATCGGTAAGACTTGAATGAGACTGCATTAAAAATACAGTTTTACACCATATATATATCAACCACTTCTATTAAGTGTTTTATGTTTATATGCTCCTCCTTCAGCGTTTTTGTCACTTTCTGACTCTTACAGCAGCGTAATATGAAGGATTTTTCCACAGGTTTTTTACCTGCATTTTTAATTGCACGTTATATTTTGTGTTTTCGGGTTACAGCAGATAATGTCCTGGAAAATTACTAGTACCTTTTCCATTTTTCTAGATATTTATCTTACAGTGTACCAACTGATCAACAATCGCAAGTGCAAGCTACTAACAAGGTGTATCATAAATGAACAATTATTCAATTATTATTATTAAATTTAACAATTGCAAATAGCAGCTAACTCAATTCGCGTGATGTGTGTACTGCTAGGCATCTTTGGTTTTCTCTTTTTGTGTAATTTAAATGGTAAATGTTCCTTTTTATCGTTTGAGTCGCTTATCAAAAGTTGCTAAAAGTCGCCAAATAAATAAAAAAAAATAGCTACATTTGTTGCTAGGTGCTTTTAGAAGAAACAGTTGCTAGGGTAGTCTGAAAAGTTGCTAGATTTAGCAACAAAATTGCTAAATTGGCAACATTGTCAGCATATGTGGGCGGGACATATGTTAATGAGCTCATGGTCATGTGTTCCAGACATCACACTACAGTGGCTGATCCAGCACTCACGGACCAGGCGGAGCTGAGGGGGCGGAGCCAGCATCTGATTGGAGGAACCGCATCATGTGATCAACTGCATTTTAGACGCTCTTGATTTCGTTCTAAACAAACAAGCATCCACCCCTCTCTCTGTTCTTATAAACAAATCCACATCATTTACATCGTTTGAATGTTGATTTTTTACTTTTACTTGGATGTGCTTTTTTTACGGTTTGTCATGAAGTCACATGACGTGCTTCGCTCGCGCGCGTCATTCTGCGTGTTTTTTCGGAGACGGGATCGAACCTCGACTCGACGCCCACAGCATCCGTCGGAACCAGCGCTCTCTGGTCACATGATTTTGGGCGTTTGCGCCGGCATCTTGTTTTAACGTTCCAACGTTGTGAGAACATTCCACATGCTCTCTAAATGTTCACTGGGAGAATTCGTTGATGTACACTATTGTTTTGCGTTTAGCAAGATATTACATGTTAGTATTATTAGCCTGTTAGCGCGACATGTTCTACGAACGTGACGTCATCCCGTGGGCATCAAGGTCACATGGTTTGCGTTAATATTGTAGCATTACGAAATCTTTTTATCTGAAAGCACATGAATCATTTTAAAGCGTTTAACATGTCCAAGTTTTGTACGCTTCTTTTGAGTCGCCGTGACTACAGCGTTGTATCGTTGACGTGGGTGGGTTGTCATGGCAACCGTTCCAATCGCGTAGTTTTTTTTTTAGGAACGTCAGTCTGCGAGCGCGTGCAGAGCAACATTAGTGTTTTATTTGATGCTCGACGGGACACAACGACAAACATTGATCTGTCTCTGTCGGACCCGCAGATCGTTGCGCTAATAAAAACAGCGGAGATGCGGCAAATGTTGCGCAAATCTCCTGCTGAAGTCCAGTGTTGTTTCTGAACGCTGTTCCTATCGGGAGAGATGAAGATCTCGCTTTATTTCATTTACAGCCTGTTTCGTTTTTGTCGCATGTGTGTACGTTTTTGGCCTAAATCATAACGGTTTATAAACGTGTCGGTAGATTATACATATGTAAATTGACATATTTCAGTTGTTTTTGGCATGTTTTTTCACAGTGTGTTTCAACTGGATTATGTAAATAGCAACTTAAACCAAATGAGATCTCCCTCCTGAGCGTTACGGTGTTTGTCTTAGTGTGATTAGCGTCCTATGATAATAATAACGATAATAATAATAATAAAAAGAAGACCCTGCTCATATCACAGCAATCTGAACGAATGGATTGTGTGTATGTGTGTGTGTGTGTGTGTGTGTGCGAGAGAGTGAGCGATGGTGTTTGTGTGCACGGATGCCGTCGTATAGACTACAATAATATTTACGTTATAAATGCTGAAGGTTTACTCTGTTGATTTTTCACAACTGTTAATCACTTTATATTCATCCTCACTAATGTTTGATTGTCACGAGTTCATAGTCTACACAAGAGTGAACGACGCAATGCGACAAAATGGCGGTAATCAACACTGCTGCACTGGTTATGAAGTCATGTTACAGAGTCAACATTGATGTTACGAAGTTCGTGTCCGGTTACAATGATAACCATAGTTACAAAAGGTGTTTTTACTACAATACAACTGTCGTTGAAAAGTGATGCAAACAGCTTTGTTGACAATAGCAGTTATTTATGAAGTCAACTTTTAGTTATGTAACAAAGTTGTGAACTTGCAACATAGACAGCATTAGTATAATGAAGCCGATGTAACAAAGTTGATTTTGACGAAGTAATTTGCGAAGTCACCCTAAGTTACATTCATGATTCACGGCAAAGTGGTTTTCGCACAATTTAGTTGCGCAAGATCAAGTTCGTAAATGCCTTTGTTGATGTTGACATTGCTGAAGTCAGTCTAATGAAGTCAACTTTGTTGATTATACGAAGTCTTTTTCAAAGTCAACCTAGTAGCGCACAACTTAGTTGCGTAACATCGAGTTCATAAATGATTTGCAAAAGTCACTAAGAAGTCAATCTAACCAAGTCAACATCATTTTAGGAAGTTATACCAATGAAGTCATTTTCATAATTCACTTTGTTGGCAAAGTGGATTCCAAATGTTACGTGACTTTGTTAGGTTCGTAAATGACTTGGTCAAAGTCACTTATGAAGTCGTCTTTAGCTTTGTTAATGAAGTGTGCAGTGTGGAGCACTTTGTTGATTATGACGGTCTGATTGTCACTTTGTCGTGTTGCGTTACTCGATTCAACGCTGATCGCAGAACGTTTGTTTTTCTGCTGCTCTTGTTGGAGCTCATGTTCACTCCTGTCGTCAGTTCATCGTGGACATGAGCTCATCCGGGCTCTTATCGTCTTCTGTATGCGTGTTGATTAAATTATTTTTTATGTCTAATTACGTGTGGCCATAATGTTTTTTTGATATTGTTTGTAGCAGTGTCGCGCTCTTTTGTTTGCTGGGGAGTCATGTGATTTTTTTCCCCCCTGCATGACTTCATTATGGGATGGAGCTGGTTGCCATAGTTACTGTATAATCAGCGTGTGATTGGACCGAGCTTGATGATGCCCCCCCCCCCTCTTTATATGGTATATATAAAGTAACTTTTTAAAGCCGTCACATAACAGGTGTTTCCGTACCAGACTCGGATCAGTTCAGTTGTTCATTTGGGATCTTTCTATTCTCTCGTGCCCGCGGGGATAACTGTACATGTTGTTCTTGTTATTTACAGATTATTTAAAAATAAAAAATTAAACGATTTCCCTCTCAGAACCACGGTTTCTTCTTTCTTTAAGCCGATGCCGTTTTGATTTCAGGTCTAATTCAGTGATACTCACTGGACAAAAATGTACTTCATGAAATTCGTTTTAAAATAAAAGAGAAAATGTTAACTTTTTAGTGTTAAACTTTTGTTTTAATTTGGTGGTTTTGACTTTAATGTGATGAGAAAAGTAGCATTCAGAATAACATACTATCATACTACTGCAGTATATAGTATGTACTGTGCCCCATGTTTAATTTTCTGTACGTATGGAATACTTAATGATTTATACCGTATCCCACAATGCAATGTGCTCAACTTACCTTTAAAAAAAAATAGGACTGTGTAGTAAAATATGCTGTGCACTAAACAGAGAGCAGTAGACAAGTCTTTAACTCCATCAGCAGAGGGCAGTATAGACATACAAATACTTCTCTGATTAATTATTAAATAAGATTAAGTCTCTTCAGCACAGTTTATTCTCTGAAGATTAACTTTACGTTTACTTGTGACGTGAACAATAAAAAACTGCATATTACACGGCAATACATGTTAAATTAAGAAGGCAATCCGTTTGTCCCTAAATACGTGATTATATTCATTGATTTTAGATTGAAATTACACAATATCAGAGATCTGAGCCTTCAGCAACCGCGTTGGACACTTAACGGTATATCGGCGACTTTCGCGCTCTTTTTTTATTTAAAAGTACACGCTAACGCTCCCGCGTGCTGTTGGTTTTAGAGAGTTAACGGGGTTCGTGTGCGGTCTGTTTGCACACATCCATCCCGTCGGAACCCTCGCAGATGTTGGTTTTGGACTCTGGCTCTGTTTTGGTAGGATGTGAGAAGTTCAGAGGTCAGTGCTGCCATGGAGACGGTGACGGAGCGCGGGCTAACGAGCGGATGTCCAGCGGGACGCGGCGCTGCTGACGGTCGGTTCCGCCGAGCCTGCGGTGATCTGGAGCGGCTCTGAGAGGGCTTCACGTGGAGCTTCCATCTCCTTCAGCGGGACAAAACAAACCGTGTCAGAGAGCCGTCAACCCACACAAAACACAACTCTTAAATTAATATATAATGAACACACACTGGCTCTGAGGAGACTTTCACACAACTTATTTTTACACTACAGTACTGTGCTTTCCCATGTCATTAAAATACGTTTTAAACATGGTAACACCACAGTACTGTGTGTGTCAAATTGGTATTTTTACGATGCTGGTTGTCATTCATGAATGACAAAATAATCCACTATGAGGGACGCTGTGTGGGTTCATAGTTTAGGAACAAAATTCCGTTGAATGTGACAAAACCTCCTTTTGTGAACATCTGGGGACGGCTTCATTTGGGAAATCGATTCATAAATGATGTTTTGTCGTTTTAATGTACGTGTACTGTTTGAGTTAGCTGTAGTCGTGATGTTGCACGTTTGTCAGCGTGTGTTAAATATGTGTAGTAGTAATTTTGATGTAAACTTCTAAGATTGATTACAGGTTTATCAGAGCCTGTATTTTCACTTGTATTTGTTCGCCTATTTTCGTATTTTTTTAAATAGACAAGGTGGTCGCCATAGCAACAGTACACTAATCGAACGTTCTCCTTAACAACAGATACACATACTAAATTGTCAACGATACTTCATTTTATATTTAATATTTTACAAATATATCACAAAATTGTTTATTAATAATCAGAACGTAATCCATTACATTACACATTTTAGGTAATATAATCGGACTACTTTTAGATTACATTTGACCGGTCTCGTTTTTCGCATTGATTTGTACCATATTGATATAAAAATACAAAGAGTAAGAAAATATATTCCATTTGTTGTTATTAACAACATGAAGTACATTAAACATTAACGTCAAGGTTTTCCAAACTGGGTTTGTGAAGAAACTGCAGGGGGTTTATGAGTTTAATGAAAAGCTAATAATTATTGAAATCATAAAAACATGTCATGTGACCGTAACCAACATCAAAGAACCAATGAACAAAGAAAATATATTCCATTTGTTGTTATTAACAACATGAAGTACATTAAACATTAACGTCAAGGTTTTCCAAACTGGGTTTGTGAAGAAACTGCAGGGGGTTTATGAGTTTAATGAAAAGCTAATAATGATTGAAATCATAAAAACGTCATGTGACCGTAACCAACATCAAAGAACCAATGAACATGAAAATGTGATACTTCATTATTAATATATTTATTTAAAAATCTCAGGGATACTTCAAATATAAATAGATTAGGTGAACAATGTGATACTTCATTATTAATATATTTATTTAAAAATCTCAGGGATACTTCAGATTAGGTGAATGAGGATCAGATGGCAAAAAAGTTTGTGAAATTGTGCATTTTAATATGTTTGAAATTTTGAATGTCCGCAAAACTGAAAGACTTTCTGAGTGTATATCAGTGGAAGGCTATTTTAGAAGGGAAAATTTACATTATGAAACGGAGGAATTAGGGAGAATCAATAAATTATGAATAATTTATTGCCATTGTGTAAATAATATGTAATCATGTAATCCATAAAAAAAGTAACCGTAGTCTGATTACGAGTATTTAAATTTTACATATTGAACATTTAATAATTGTAAACTTTTAAAATATATTTATTTCTGACATTTTACACAATTTGACCACAAGGGGCGCTGTTGTGGAAACTGTTTCTTCTATGGCCGGTTTTCACTTTCTGATGAAGTTTTGTAAACTTGCATGAACTATGTTTATATGTAGCTCCCTGAATATCATCTGGTATAACGGCAAAACTTTTTAAGGAAATTTCGTCACCCCTTGTGTTCTCAGGTTTGTTACCACACGACAAACTTCAAAAGACCGTTCCCCAAGAATCAGCTACAGAAGCTTCTTTTTAAAAACCTCCCTGAATGTGTAGAACACACTCTTGACCTCATTCTGTAAAGTTCATGACAGCGCAGAGCGTTTAATCCACCCTAGATTACTTGTTACCCCATTCCTCCCGCGGAACAGCCTCTCCGTGTTACCCACATCAACGCGAGGGTCCCGTCTCCACGACAACCGGCGATCCGAGAGAATGTTGCGTCTGTTTCTGATCCGCCGCTGTTTGGAGTCTGAATGCCGAAAGCTGGCGTGTGACAGTCGCGTAGCAACCGCTCAGGGGCCGCTATTGATATTCAGCGCGGGGGCCGCGGCTCGAGAACAATACAGGCCTTATGGGCCCCCACGACTCCTCCTGAGAATCTACTGTAGGAGGAAAATCACTTCAGAACGGCCAAGAGACAGCAGTTCAACTGTGTCTCCAATTCTTTCACACAGACAGGTCACATAAGTACAAATCCTTTAAGCGTTTATGTGTGTAAAACAGAGTTTATACAAAGTTTGCGACTTATTCAAACGCTTTGAAACTTTTATTGACTGCAACAGAGTACAAAATAAAAGAAATACAAAAGATTTGATCCTAATGATCTACATCGGTTCACTTTGCTATTATAATCATTACTATCTAACGTGTTAAAGTTGCAAAGTTTTTTCAGTATTTCCTCATAGTTCATAGAGTCGTTTGTCTCTGCTGAGAGTTTGTAAACGGGCACAAGTCGTTTAATTCCAGCAGCGAATCAGACAGTCTTTGATATGTGAGACAGACTCAATAAAACATTTCTTCTTCAAAACTTATAAAAGTTGATCCGAAAAATCGATTTCTGCTTTTCCAAAACATACTTTCATTTTTAAACACTGACAATTTAAAGATAGAAATTAATTAAGTGCATAAAAATACTATTTTTTTTCAAGTTTGCCGCAACTGTCCATCCAGCAGTACAATGTTTACGGATAAACAAAATATTAGTTATTAATTCCAATGAAATACAATAAAGTTCACAATTTGTATTTCTGTAGTGTAGAAGTGATGGATCTATAAAGAAAACAGACGTACAGACTGAAATACAGCAACTAATCGAGGATTTTAAAAATCACTAAACATGATCAAGAGAAAACAAGATTGTGATTGGATGATGACGAAGGAACAGGAAATTGCGTTTCTGCGTTTAACGCTCCTCATCCAGCGGTGAGTGACGGCATGATCATTCTGTCTCATATCATTTTTATTCTATAATATTTTAAATTTAATAAAGTATTGCGATAATTTATTAACACATTTTTGTGTTCTGCACACAAAATAAAACAGGTTTGGAACATTTAAATGGCAACGGAATGATAATTTTTGTGTGAACTGTCCCTTTAAGTGTGTTAACGATGGATTCGTTCACAGTTTTAACGGACA